ATCGGATTTCACACCATATTATGTAACATTTTATATTCGCCCACTAATCCTATAATTGTGCACTCCTTTCCAACATCTATACACCTTATGTATTATCGTATGTATGGTATTAATTGGTTTGCTACTTGACTATTGACTATGACTATAATCAAAAATATTTTAATTGCCTTTCATACTATTATTATTTCCTGTATTCACATCTTTGAAGTAATTCCCTCATCGAATATAATTTTTTTAAAACCATATACATATATATATATATACGATTGAACAGCTTGATACTAAATTTGTTGAAAATAGTCTCTTCGCTGAATATTGTGTTCTTTCGAAATATGTTAAGTGAAAATTATTCAATCGTATCTGGTAAACTAAACTTTGTGCAGTAAGGATGACGAAATTTTTAAGAGTGGAAAAATAGCAATGGCTGCTTACAGTTGAAGGTACACGACAATTTACTTCATCTTCTTCTGTAGAACTAGGCATGTCGACCGTGCAAGATGTGTTAGCGGACATTTTCCTTCATGACGGAGAAAGACGATTGCCTACAGCTGTTTTGGAATATGTGATAGACATTGCACACTCAAGTGAACTCGCAAACAAATTTCGGGGTCATCTACATAGTATACGGAAACCTTGTCGAAGAAGTACATATAGAATTTTGTCAAGCCACTGAATCCAAGATGTAACTAATTTGACTAAAAACCTGATGAGTAATTTTCGAAATTCCTAAATTTCAGTTGTTGCTTTTTTTAAATGCATTAATCTTCTCCCTTTCTGCTATTACTTTTCTACTCCTTACGATAATGATCTTAATTTTTTTCGAATTTTAGTTGAACCCTACTCAATTCTGTCGAATATATTACGTCATACATTTCATCTATATAACTTTATTATATATATATATATATACATATATATATATATATATATATATATATATGATTGTACAGCTTGAGAATAATATCGCTGAAAAAAGTAACACTTATCTGAAAGCCTTTTCTTTTATATGACTTAATGAGTTTCATCTAAGCTACAGGTTGAATTGTAGTTGAATAATAACCAACTAAAACATTTTATTGTCTTATTCTTTCATTTCAAAAATCGATTAAAATCAAATTTACAGATAAGCAATTATTACAGATAAGCAATTATTACAGATATTTTCCCCGTATGTTAACTGACATAAAAATTTAATGTTTCACTAAAGATTTAGTCTCAAACTTAAATGGGTTAGAGAAATAGCAAAACTCAGCGAGCATTGGATAGTTTTTCCGTCCCGATCTGATTCTATTTAGTAGTAGGTGTTGATGATTTTGGTTTAGAATAAGATCTACATTAGAATTAATACAATCCTCATAAAAATGACATCTAAAACGTAATCTACTGCTCAATAGTGACTGCATTCGAGATTGATTTCAGATCTAATAAAAATTAATAGGTGGGTTTGTTTAGTTGAATATATTGACAGATAATCCCTAAAGTCCTTGGATGGTGGTAGTGTTACATTGCGAATTTGCAGAAACTTCAGTTTTTGGCCTTCGCAACTCAAAGCCATAGCTGACTAATAAAAGACTCTGCTCGAAAACGACTTTCGATTCACGTTAAACAGGAGCATATATATATCTATATCTATCTATCTATCTATCTATCTATCTATATATATATATATATATATATATATGTACATATCTTTTTTCATTTGAGGAAAATATATATATGTACCAACCACTGGATGATTATTATAACGATGAAACATTAGAATCGAATGACGACAAAGGCTTCAGACAGCCTTGTACACCGTTGAAATGAAGTGAATCTTCAACGTAGAGTTTTGCGCAGAAGGGAAGTAATTCAATTTATCACACTTCATAAAAGAACACATAAATGTAGTAAAACAAATTGCAAAGAAATAATAAACATAATAAACAGAAATGTGTACAAGAATTATGAGGGTTGAATGAGTCTATGAGGTCATAAATGGTGAATCCTACTGAGAATGATTTCGAACGGTGTCACTCACAGGCTATAGCATCTTGAGGCTACCAGCCAGGAATCTACATCTCCTTAAGTGGCCCATATCAACAATCACATACTTCACAGTAATACGAAAATAATAATAATAAATGAGTAACCAAAGTTTAGATACAAGTTACGTGTTCAGTTGCCTCCGAGAACCCATATGTTTGTCACCTATCACACCATTCATTTTCAACATCAGTCCCAGTGGCTTTTCAAAATGGATCTTGTTAATCACTTTCACCATACACGGAATAATCCCCAGCTGATGCATTCCTTTACCTCGCTAAGCTGGCAGTAAGACTGGTAAAGAAAGAAGGTTGGGCTAGCAACCCTATCCCATAAAAATAAAAAAAAACACTGCTAACGAAACTTCAAAGTTCTAGCTTGAAGCCATATGTTCCACTAGGAACGTGAAGAAATTAATTAATATATGTGCGGAGTACCCTAACCGTTTGTCCTAAACATTTTCTAATAATACTAAAACTGATTAAAAATGCCCATTAAATTTCTTCCAAAATGATGGTTACTGAACAAAGAATATTCTTCTCGATATCTTCAACAACATTAATGTTGTTTATATAACATCGATTCAGTAATAATAACAACATTTCGATTAGCATCAACATGACAATACAGTGAATAGCAAATATATAAATTAGGAAAGATAATAATACAAATTCATGAATATATAGCCACCACTGACTGCCGGCCAGGACAGTAGTATTGGTTAGACCTGTTTCTTCAGTACACAGAGCACAAGTTGTTTAAGGCGAATCGTGATATCCTGTCCTGCTTGGAATATGCGGTACCCGAATACTTTTGGCAATTTATTCGGTACCCGGTAGATGACAGAGAAGGACTCTTCAATGTTGGCTTTATGTTCGGTTTGAACCAGGTGTTCTGATATCGAACTGCTGATGGTTTTTACTACACCTTTACTTAGCCACACCGGTAGTTGTTACCAAGCGACCAAGAAGAATCGAGCTCCTATAGCAACGACCCATATAACTCACTGGACAAGCGCAGTTGAATTGGTAGATACAATCAGATGTGGCTAGTCTAGGTACTTCATCTTTGAATTGGGTAATCACAACCGGTCATGGTGTAGAAAATATGACTTGTAGTTTACCATCATTAAAAGTTCTTTCAATAGATTTTCCTAACCTGTTAGTAATAATGTCACTAGGTGCGTCACCTTTGCAATGCTGTCGTATATATAAAGACTAACACTAATTCATTCACTATTATGGGTGTATATAACTGCAGAACCTGATGATGAAATTATTGGAAAGAAGATTCTTTGTTCAGTAACCATTCTAATAATGTCGTTCAGTTTTTGAAACACGCTAACTCGTTAATCAGGTAGTAAGGATTTAGATGGATAGGGGTAGAAAAACGAGTTGTCGCAGAACGTATTTCCATTTTCATTAGTAGTGTGATAGAGATTTTTAAATAGATAATTCATTTTCAGTCTGTTTTATCACACTATGAAATAAAATTTATTGATATAATTCATTCAAAATATGAGTCGGTCCTTTGATACATTTGTTATACTGACGCTAATTTCAGAATTTAAACACTTCTTAAAATTATAATCCATGATAATACATATAAATGAGATTTCTCCCTTTGGTAAATGATCCAGTTCATTTTTTTAAATCAAGAAGTATCGAAAGTAATTTCAGAATAAGAATAGTGTACACTTGGAAATCATTTCACCCGAATTTAGTCTGTTTGTGGAAAAAAGTCAAAGAAGGCAGAAAATACACTCAATTTATTTATTTACGTAGACTGTAAATGCCTTGGAATGTCATAGGAATATCTAGCTAAGGTAAAAACCACCCCTGATTGATGCAATAAAATAACGACCTGATAATTAGCTGTATCTCAAAGTTCACCTAGCAGACCACCCAGCTAGTGATTTGGAGGCCACTGGTTTGAATTCTGTCGCAGTTCAAATTTTCAATGCCTTTAATTGCTAACCATCACATTAAACTAAATACTGGTGATTTATTGGGGTTTAGCCCTAAGAATACAATGAGTAGTTATGGTGATTTTCAAGCATTTTGTTTCAGTGATATGACTAGTTTCAAGCTAGTTACAGAGTCGCTAAAAATCTTTAAGTACTCCACAAGTGTTTCGTCCTATCTTGTTACTCCTCATCAGTGCACACCTCAGGACCCTATCGAGGATCGTAAATAGGATCTTCAGGTTACAGTGATTGCCTGCTGATCATTTAGTAACTGGGACGAAATCCATAAAGAAATTAGCCCTGACATCGGTTGATATTTTCATCTAAACCCGTTTTGATTGGATTTACTTAAGCTGTTCTGTGTAAAATGTGGTGAGGTACAAACAAACGGAAATATAAGCAGTCTAAACGTCGAAACTAGTATTCTCTCCAACTTTTGCCTTACTTTAAAGAATATCTCTGGTACTGCAGAGAAATGATCACCATTTGAACTAAAAGGTGATAAAGAAAGGCAGTGATTTACAAAACATGTACGGAACTTATTTAGGCAACAATTTTGCTCATTTTTGTCGATGGTGACTAGTAGAAGAATCGAGAATGCCCATTTCGTCCTATTTAAGACTCGCCAGCTGAATGTACCTACATTCACAGTGAGTGATGGCGTTCCTGCAGGGTCTTAGACTCCACACTCATCGATTCAAGCATCAAATAGGGCTAAATGTGCATCCTGGATTACACCGCTAGGCAAAACCAACTCAAATAACTACACGTTGTTCCTTAGAAATCGTCGAGGCGTCTGTATCCGGAGTCAAGGTGTTAGCAGAGACCAAGCACTTCGGTTCATTACAGTCAGTCAACATGAAATGCGAAATTGCCCCTGCTTTCTTACATTTTATGTATGAATTCACCGGGATAGTGGATTTTCTTTTGTCGAATATTGCACAAATCATGCATAAATAAACTGATAAATAACCAGAATTGACACAATAGAACAAGAAAAATGACTTACATCTGCCAAGAAAATACTTGAAATACCATCGTGTCTCTCGTTCAGGATTTTCCAGATGCAATGGTGTACTTGTCGACTTGAAATTACTTCCAGTACTACTGTTATAAAATGCACTTGTATCATGTTCGAATGAGAAGTATTCATCGTTATCATCATAACTAGTTACAGTAGCTGTTCCTGTTCCAAATGACTGAGACTGTTGTATAGATGTAGATGTTTGAGTTGTAGGACAGCATAATTGGTTTAAACCAGTATCATAAGAGGATTGTTGTAGTTGACGTTTTTCTGACTGTTGCGATGCTACTGTTGGTGTTAATGTATTCCTGAAACTGTCAAGTGCTAGATTACTGTTGGATTTATTTGTGAGCAGACTTGCTTCACTATCCGTAGTTTGTACTTTTTCTGAAGTAACTCTACGTTCATAATCCTTATTCCCCTCTATGTCTACATTGATCATTTCGTCACTGACTTTATCTTCAAAATTTAACATTGACAGACGATTTTCTGATAATGAAGATGGTGAATCTTTTGTTTTTAAGGATGAATCAAATGATACACAGTTAGGATGTCCAGGTGATGTTTCTTTCACTTTTTTACATGGGATTACACCAATCTCAGAACGAAATCTTCCAGCATTATTAATAAATCCATTGGATTCACTCAGTGTTGAAGTATTTTCTGATAAGTACATCTGAGTATTGAAATATAATAAGGACAGTACTTACTATACTATAATTATTATTACTGTTTTTACTATTAATAGTAATAGTGAATTTCGAAGAAACACTGAAAACTAACCTACTAATTACTCTAACAGTATATGTATATACACATAAATAATTGTAAACACAAAATGGATTTGTAACTGACTTGACAGATGTAACTACTCAGCCAAAATGAAGTCGACCAGTGGAATTATAGTCTAACCAAAATAACTTGTTTCACTGTTCAGTTACCCAGTTTATAATTATGATTCGAACGTTAATCAGTAGAATCACTAGGAGAGCAGAGTATTTACTGAATGGTATGAATCACAATAATGTTGACATTATTATTGTTGTTTTAGATAAACTAGTATGCAGTAGACCAGGTTATTCCCTTCATCAAGAATTGTGTTCATAAAGTAGACTTGAGAAAAAGTCATTTTATTTATGATTCTATCGAAAATTCATTGTACCTGACATTTTTCTCATGGTTCTATACTTCTTTTTTCCCAATCGATAAGTTTGTTTTTGTTGCCATACTCTATTAGTCTATAGGTTATAATAATAGGGAGGAAACTTGTATCCTATATACATATATATATACACGCACATAGGCGTAGATGTATAGATGCATTTGCGTATAGAAACTCACCGTAGGATAGGAAAGAAGAAAGAGATGGGCATGCGTATACTTTTGGGGTTGAGAGAAGCGGTTTAGGTGGGCGTAGACTCAAGCGTACATAGTATATACAACTTGATCAAATGTACGTTGAATTAGAGAGGATGAAATAGACAAATCTAATATTGTGGACACATATTACCATGAGAGACATGCATTTTAGAATTTTGTATTAAATGGCTATCTTTATTTAAATAAGACATACGTATATGCTCTGATTTCACAGCAATATACAGTCTTCACATATAATATAATACAAAGACTCTGATGAAACATACAAATTAATGTATATGTGAAAAACACCAATAACATGACATTCATGTGAATAGATTTCAACAAATAAATTTAACATAAAAGTGGTGAGAATGAATCTCATTCCTGCTGAGTAAGACAGATCCCAATGTAAACAACTATGATGATAATGTTCAGAAAAATTAGCTACAATTGTGGAGTTATTTTCTCTGGAAATTAACTTGACTTAACATCGTGTATATTTGAGCTTTCATTAATTTACGTAAGGTATCTCTACACCAAACTAAATGACTTCATTGAAATCTACTTTGTCGGTGGCACAGTGGTTAGGACTCTCGCCGACTATACACATGGTCCGTGGTTCGATCCCCTGACGACGCACACCTGATATCTATGGTCGGCCTGCAAAATTTAGGGTGCCGATATCCATCCTGAAAATTCCATACTTGTACCAAAAATACAGTGTGGAATCAAGCTGTAATAAAAAAAAGTTGTGACGAACATCGAAGGTGAATGAACATTTATAATCAACATAGATGCCACTCAATTCGTTGATGAAAATGATTTGGTCTTCGCGAGTTGATTTTCCAACCGAAAATTATGCAATATGTGCATCTGTGGTTCAGCTGTAGGATGCTCGCCAACAACGCCGTACATGGTCTAGTGTTCGATCCTCGGCTGACGAACTTCTAAACCGTAACGATCTGGTAAACGGAAAAGATTGTGCATGACGCTAGCAACCCCACTCCGTAAAAATAAAGATCACTGCTACCGAAACTTCAAAACTCTAGCTTGAAGCCCTATGTTTCACTGGGAACGTAAAGGAAAAAAATAATAAATATTTAAAAATGTGAACTTTTGAGTTGGGTGCAGCTAGAGCTGTGTCGCATTCTCAGGGGAAATACCAGTACTGGAAAGCAGGTACAACCAGTGACGAGACCCGTAAAGGATGAGTAGTGGTTCTTGGATTCAACTGCCAGCTGTAACTAAAAATAATAACTCGAAGTTAATAAATATTGTCTATCAAGGTATCTGTGAAGCATATATTCTGAAACGGAACTGATCACTGCGATCTACATATACCAAAGAAAAGTCACAAGACTACAAAAAGATATTTTCAAGAATTTCGCCACAGCCGTGCATATTTGGTTCAATTCTAGCAATCAAAATTTTAGACATATGTCCATACATAACATTAGCCACTTTGTGAGAGTAACACGCCTCTAGATGTTCTTATGTAGAACCTAAGTTCGAGAATTGTAGTATTTCTTCGCTTTTCTAATCACATCTTTCCTTTTACTCAATTGTATTGGAATAGGTTTTAACGTATCAGTTTGTTCGACTCTCAATGATTTCCTTGGGTCTACCAAGAACTAAATTGGCTAATTTATTCATGTTAACAGCCTTCAGAGTTAGCTTCGTAAACTTACAAGGAAATATATATATATACCTTGTCAACTCTAGACATCTAGCATCCCCGCTTGAATGCTTCACGGTGCCACACAGAGTCCCTCAGTGTCACGCGAAAGGGCTTCGAATGCGCCAATTGTACATAGCTAAATCATTGGCTATTCGGGATCTGAAACCGGACCTCTGCATTCAAAAGCACCACTCACATTCACTCGCCCTACAGTGAGCAGAGTAACGTTCTCACTATAATTTTGCTTCTTTTTACTATGTTAGTGTACTATTATTATTATTGTTATTATTCTCAACATCTGCTAATTAATAACATTGCGTTTTCATACAGATTTTGTAAAAACAGTTTATCGTCTTTCCACTAGTTCTTGTCCACTCTACAAAACCATATTGACTAACCATCACCAAACACTGTCACCCCAACTTCCGCCTTTTTTTCTAATTTCCAATCTAGGTTACACCTTAGATTACGTAATACGCTTTTGACGACAAGTTTGACCAGTATCTGATTAGTTGTCTTAGGAATTCCTTGTTAAGTATAATTACGATTGTACAGCAGCTATTGAAAATGAATCATCGAGAAGAGAATTCTCTTCTCTGTTTATGCTTGTTTTCTTACATTTATCTGATATAAACATGTGAAACAGATGGATTCCATATCTATCCAAAAAATTCATCCATATTACGTCATTTAATGATATCCATACTGATGAGTCTTTCATAATTTTGTCAGTTTGTAAACGACTGAGAACATTAATGGTATGTGTTGGTAAAGTATGCCACTTGCTTCAGTCACTTGTATGTGTATGAGTAATTAATCTGTACTATATAAAATAACGCTTATAAACCTGTGATTAGTGGACGAGGTTTGAGGTTTAAATACCCTGCATTTCCATTACACTTTACATAAGCTTTAGTTGTCAGATTGCTCATTTATACATGCTTATTTGGTAATTTTCCTGTAAACACTTAATAGCCTGTTTACCAACTCTGTTTTCATTTGTTGACTTCATATTTATCCCTATTAAATTCCCATCTTTCTCCTTAAGATATCACATCTGTTGATGGAATGAATATGATATCTGGAGAAAATTCAAAATCTGCATATTCGATTATATATCAACCTTCTGGGATAGAAAGCAGTTCCTAACCTCTAAGGAATTATTTTCATTCCATAGAATGTCACAAATAGGCAGTGATGAAATAAGAATTTTATACACAGAGATCCTGACTGCATTAGGGCAAAGGTAATCAAAATAATACTGTTTTGATTGAAAAACAACCCTCTTCTCTGATTAAACTTTTTACAAAACATAATTAATATTTTGTTTGTCATTGAATTATTCAACCAGAGAATATCCTTTTCAAGTATGAATTTCAACTGGACAGTTGAATGAAACTTTAAAATACCAAAAATGTGATGCATGTGTATTGTTCGGAAAGGTGGCTTCTTCATAATGAAAATGCCAAAGAGAAGAAGACATATAGATTACTAGCAAAGTTTTCAGCCACTAATTCTTTCTCTATAATTTAAATCTTTCTTACTCATTACAGGAATACACTTTTGTTTTTCTGTAGCTCAGCGTTAACGTTGGTGTCTACTTCGAAACCTTCCTGTTCTACCTAAGCAGACTTGTGCCTTCTGCTACTAAACAGTTATTGCTTTCAAACATTTAGTTCCCTAAATATACTGTTTTTCAGGTGTGAGGCTAGCAACCCCACCCAGTAAACAAAACTGCTACAGAAACTCCAGTATGATGAGTCTCCTTACAACAAAAGAAGAAATCTGTGTGGGAACATGGAACGTCCGCAGTCTGTATGAGACTGCCCAGATTGCAAACCACCAAGTGAGATCACAAGCCAGGCTCGCGAGTGGAATTTTTGTTTATTTTTTTGATTACAGCTTGATTCCACACCACATTTTTGGTACAAGTATGGAATTTTCAGGATGGATATCGGTAGCCCAAATTTTGCAGGCCGACCATAGATATCAGGTGTGCGTCGTCAGGGGATCGAACCACGGACCATGTGTATAGTCGGCGAGAGTCCTAACCACTGTGTCACCGATGCACCAAATGGGAAGCGGAAAGTCGGTCATCAGTGCAAAGGTGACATGGAGGAGGTCATCTGAAGAGGAGATGAAAGCATGTGGGCACACATGGAGCCAGGTGAAAATGTCGACAGAGAACCGAATGCAATGCTGACTTGTGGCTGAAGCCCCATGTTCCTCTAGGAATTAAGGGAAATAATAATAATCATAAATATTCTGTTTGAATGGTTTTTCTGAACTTTATCTAAGTCTTTGATACTATGAACTAAATAAATGTGTGAATAACAAGCAATTATTTAATTAAATAAATTTTTATCTCACTGTTATTGTCACAGGTCACTTAATGTTTAATCGTTTCGTGTGATTTGCGTTCTGGGTCGTTTTAATAAACTTTGATTTGGTAGACTACAGAATACGTCAGTGTTGCTCCCTGTATTAAGCAGAATATGAATGGATTCGTAGATATTCAGTTGTATTTGGCACTGTCGAATTCCGTTATTAAAGTTGTATACAAGATAAAACTGTTCCATTAAAACAGTATGAAGGTTGAAACGCAATTTATAGAGATCAGTATTTGACGTGAGTGATGGCCTGTTCGGTTTAATACCTTCCAACAAATTCAATGGGGATCTGTCACTTGCTTAATAATCAAGCAGTAGTTCATTTTGTTAACTTAAATATTTCATGCAGTTTGAAGTGGCATTATATTTAAAGTATTATTAGTGTAGTTGCTCTTATGATAACGGTGTGGTGTATTTACTTAAGTGTATATAGATGAAGCAATAAGAAGACGTAATTTGTCTGAATCGTGTAATGTATTTGCGCAACACATTTCGAACAATCTGATCACACACGGACTTGTCATAGGAATATATATATATAAAATTAATAAAGAGGTAAGAGGTGAGAAAAATAGACTTAGGTCAAGTTAAAAGGACATATTCAAGGTCAAAATAACAATGAAGACCACTAAACCAAATAACACAGGTAATAGTACATTTGCTATAGTATCAAAACAAAATTTACCAAAGAAGGTTTAGTGTGATGACGAATTGTTTATGAACGCATAAAGGTGGCTTGAACTTCCTAATTGATAGCTAGGACTTTCACAAACTTTAGGATGCGCCCCAAAGACTTTTTATCCAGCTAATATCATAATATTAGAGAATGTAAAGCCATTATATCTATCTAAGCCCTTCGAACATGCGAAAAATAAAATCACATCCCACTGTATTTACCAGTTTG